TCCGAGTAGCCGGAATTACAGGCATGTGCTACCATGCCCAGCTGATTTTTTGATTTATTGTAGAGATAAGGTCTCACTGCCCAGGCAGGTCTCGAACCTGCGGGCTCAGGCAATCCACTCACCTCAGCCTCCCAAAGGCGCAGGATTACAGGCTGGGCCACTGAGCCCGGTTTATTGCCAGAATCTTAGTTGTGCCAAATGGGAACAGTTTGTGGTCCCAAGTGGATAAAAGACAGGATCCAGGTTTGTTGGTTATCTATTTAAAAGCGCTCTGACCAAGCGTGATGACTCACGCCTATAATCCCAGCACTTTGGGAGGCCGAGGTGAGAGGATTGCCCGAGTCCAAGGGTTCGAGACCAGCCTGGGCAACTTGGTGAGACCTCATCTCTACAATAAATCGAAAAATTAGTTGGGCATGGTGGTGCATGCCTGCAGTCCCAACTACTTGGAAGGCTGGGGCAGAAAGCCACCTGAGTCCAGTAGGTTTTGGCTGTGGTGGCCGTGAGCGTGCCACAGCACTCCAACCTGGGCAACAAAGTGAGACTCTGCCTCGGGGGTGGGAGGAGAGAAAAAAGTACTGTGAAATAAAATTTCAAGTTGGAACAAGGGGGAGTTTTTGTAGGAATTTGGATCAAGGCAATGGAACCAAAATCACCCGTTATTTCTCCCAAAGCAAGGTAAATTTTCTTTAGTTCTTAATATCCTTGCATACAAACTTAGATTATGACTGTATTGGCTACAATTTTGGTCACATAAGCAAGTCTTCAGCTCCAGTTTTAAATGAGAAGTCTTGATTGACTGACCTACCTCTTCCTCTGTAGGGGTGTGTGTGTATGCTTAGAAGACTATTGATAATGTGAAGGTAGAAGGTAATCCTAGAAAAAAATGATAGTGCTTTTGTTATTTTCTTGGAGATAAGGTCTTGCTGTCACCCAAGGTGGAGTGCAGTGGCACAATCACAGCTCACTGCAGCCTCTAACTCCTGGGCTCAAGCAGTCCTATCACCTCAATCTTCCAAGTAGCTGGGATTATAGGTGCATGCCACCACACCCAGCTAATTCTTGAATTTTTTTTTTT